TGAATACTATTAATTTTGCAAAAGGATTCATGTCTCCGAATTGGGAGAATTTCGAAAAAATTAGCTTCATCAACGACGATTTATTCATCAGTGATCATCATGATTTAAAATTCGATTTAGAGTACTTCATCTCTACATGATCAACAACCAATAATATTCATCATTAGTGTATGAATCATCAAGATTAAAATGAGTTGGTAGGGTTTTTGTTTTTGTTTTTGATTTTGATTTTGGGTTTGGGAATATTGCCCATTCAGTGATGCCAAAAATTTGTAATTTTCAAATAAACAACATATTTAGTTGTCATAGGACCTAAAACGATAGGATCTTGCTCGGTTATTTGTTCTGACATGTCGTTCACAAGAAAGAAAAAATTTCACGTTTTCGCTGGAACTTGTGCGACGGTAAATTTCATAGCCCTCAGGTTGATATATTAAAAAAATTGATGCAGACATGTAATCATGCCCCATAATCCTTCAATGATAGTAGTACTCATGAATGATATATAAATGAAATATGAGAGGTTGGGAGACACTCCTCGGACCGTGGAGCATCCCTAAAGTTGGTCAACCAAATACCTCCAGGGAAAAAATTTGTCACCCCAGGAGGAGGGACACTGTCAGTAACATGATTTGAAACTGAACTTGTAAATGATAATACACGTAGTAGACATCACATAGAGGGTATAGTGACAGTTGTGACACTTGATGATGACCATGATCACAACAGAGACAATAATTCAGATTAGTTGCCATTGTGAGAGACATGGTCATGATCATGAGATGAATCTTTTGGGTTTGGGTTTGGGTTTGGGTTTGGGTTTGGGTTTGGGTTTGGGTTTGGGTTTGGGTTTGGGTTTGGGTTTGGGTTTGGGTTTGGGTTTGGGTTTGGGTTTGGGTTTGGGTTTGGGTTTGGGTTTGGGTTTGGGTTTGGGTTTGGGTTTGGGTTTGGGTTTGGGTTTGGGTTTGGGTTTGGGTTTGGGTTTGGGTTTGGGTTTGGGTTTGGGTTTGGGTTTGGGTTTGGGTTTGGGTTTGGGTTTGGGTTTGGGTTTGGGTTTGGGTTTGGGTTTGGGTTTGGGTTTGGGTTTGGGTTTGGGTTTGGGTTTGGGTTTGGGTTTGGGTTTGGGTTTGGGTTTGGGTTTGGGTTTGGGTTTGGGTTTGGGTTTGGGTTTGGGTTTGGGTTTGGGTTTGGGTTTGGGTTTGGGTTTGGGTTTGGGTTTGGGTTTGGGTTTGGGTTTGGGTTTGGGTTTGGGTTTGGGTTTGGGTTTGGGTTTGGGTTTGGGTTTGGGTTTGGGTTTGGGTTTGGGTTTGGGTTTGGGTTTGGGTTTGGGTTTGGGTTTGGGTTTGGGTTTGGGTTTGGGTTTGGGTTTGGGTTTGGGTTTGGGTTTGGGTTTGGGTTTGGGTTTGGGTTTGGGTTTGGGTTTGGGTTTGGGTTTGGGTTTGGGTTTGGGTTTGGGTTTGGGTTTGGGTTTGGGTTTGGGTTTGGGTTTGGGTTTGGGTTTGGGTTTGGGTTTGGGTTTGGGTTTGGGTTTGGGTTTGGGTTTGGGTTTGGGTTTGGGTTTGGGTTTGGGTTTGGGTTTGGGTTTGGGTTTGGGTTTGGGTTTGGGTTTGGGTTTGGGTTTGGGTTTGGGTTTGGGTTTGGGTTTGGGTTTGGGTTTGGGTTTGGGTTTGGGTTTGGGTTTGGGTTTGGGTTTGGGTTTGGGTTTGGGTTTGGGTTTGGGTTTGGGTTTGGGTTTGGGTTTGGGTTTGGGTTTGGGTTTGGGTTTGGGTTTGGGTTTGGGTTTGGGTTTGGGTTTGGGTTTGGGTTTGGGTTTGGGTTTGGGTTTGGGTTTGGGTTTGGGTTTGGGTTTGGGTTTGGGTTTGGGTTTGGGTTTGGGTTTGGGTTTGGGTTTGGGTTTGGGTTTGGGTTTTGGGTTTGGGTTTGGGTTTGGGTTTGGGTTTGGGTTTGGGTTTGGGTTTGGGTTTGGGCCTGGGTTTGGGCCTGGGCCTGGGCCTGGGTTTGGGCCTGGGTTTGGGTTTGGGCCTGGGCCTGGGCCTGGGCCTGGGCCTGGGCCTGGGCCTGGGCCTGGGCCTGGGCCTGGGCCTGGGCCTGGGCCTGGGCCTGGGCCTGGGCCTGGGCCTGGGCCTGGGCCTGGGCCTGGGCCTGGGCCTGGGCCTGGGCCTGGGCCTGGGCCTGGGCCTGGGCCTGGGCCTGGGCCTGGGCCTGGGCCTGGGCCTGGGCCTGGGCCTGGGCCTGGGCCTGGGCCTGGGCCTGGGCCTGGGCCTGGGCCTGGGCCTGGGCCTGGGCCTGGGCCTGGGCCTGGGCCTGGGCCTGGGCCTGGGCCTGGGCCTGGGCCTGGGCCTGGGCCTGGGCCTGGGCCTGGGCCTGGGCCTGGGCCTGGGCCTGGGCCTGGGCCTGGGCCTGGGCCTGGGCCTGGGCCTGGGCCTGGGCCTGGGCCTGGGCCTGGGCCTGGGCCTGGGCCTGGGCCTGGGCCTGGGCCTGGGCCTGGGCCTGGGCCTGGGCCTGGGCCTGGGCCTGGGCCTGGGCCTGGGCCTGGGCCTGGGCCTGGGCCTGGGCCTGGGCCTGGGCCTGGGCCTGGGCCTGGGCCTGGGCCTGGGCCTGGGCCTGGGCCTGGGCCTGGGCCTGGGCCTGGGCCTGGGCCTGGGCCTGGGCCTGGGCCTGGGCCTGGGCCTGGGCCTGGGCCTGGGCCTGGGCCTGGGCCTGGGCCTGGGCCTGGGCCTGGGCCTGGGCCTGGGCCTGGGCCTGGGCCTGGGCCTGGGCCTGGGCCTGGGCCTGGGCCTGGGCCTGGGCCTGGGCCTGGGCCTGGGCCTGGGCCTGGGCCTGGGCCTGGGCCTGGGCCTGGGCCTGGGCCTGGGCCTGGGCCTGGGCCTGGGCCTGGGCCTGGGCCTGGGCCTGGGCCTGGGCCTGGGCCTGGGCCTGGGCCTGGGCCTGGGCCTGGGCCTGGGCCTGGGCCTGGGCCTGGGCCTGGGCCTGGGCCTGGGCCTGGGCCTGGGCCTGGGCCTGGGCCTGGGCCTGGGCCTGGGCCTGGGCCTGGGCCTGGGCCTGGGCCTGGGCCTGGGCCTGGGCCTGGGCCTGGGCCTGGGCCTGGGCCTGGGCCTGGGCCTGGGCCTGGGCCTGGGCCTGGGCCTGGGCCTGGGCCTGGGCCTGGGCCTGGGCCTGGGCCTGGGCCTGGGCCTGGGCCTGGGCCTGGGCCTGGGCCTGGGCCTGGGCCTGGGCCTGGGCCTGGGCCTGGGCCTGGGCCTGGGCCTGGGCCTGGGCCTGGGCCTGGGCCTGGGCCTGGGCCTGGGCCTGGGCCTGGGCCTGGGCCTGGGCCTGGGCCTGGGCCTGGGCCTGGGCCTGGGCCTGGGCCTGGGCCTGGGCCTGGGCCTGGGCCTGGGCCTGGGCCTGGGCCTGGGCCTGGGCCTGGGCCTGGGCCTGGGCCTGGGCCTGGGCCTGGGCCTGGGCCTGGGCCTGGGCCTGGGCCTGGGCCTGGGCCTGGGCCTGGGCCTGGGCCTGGGCCTGGGCCTGGGCCTGGGGCCTGGGCCTGGGCCTGGGCCTGGGCCTGGGCCTGGGCCTGGGCCTGGGCCTGGGCCTGGGCCTGGGCCTGGGCCTGGGCCTGGGCCTGGGCCTGGGCCTGGGCCTGGGCCTGGGCCTGGGCCTGGGCCTGGGGCCTGGGCCTGGGCCTGGGCCTCAGCCTGGGCCTGGGCCTGGGCCTGGGCCTGGGAGCAACACGCAACCGAAC